ATGACGTCTAAGTTTTTCTCTTTTAACAGATCTTCCTGATTCTGGGATCATTTTAAATTATTTATTTATGAGACCAGCAGCTAGTGTAATGGCTATGTTGCTGGACTCCCATGTAGTTGACTGTGGTTCAAGTCCCAGACCTGGTGGCTTAAACTCACGCCAGGCGCGTGTACGTGCGTGCCCAAGATCCTGAGAGGAGAATGGAGGAAAAGGGATTGTGGCATGGCCATCCCCCCTGGGGGGTGATTTCTCACTTTCTGTCTCTCTGTCTGTCTGGCGAACACATGCGCCCTATTGCAAAAACCTCTCCAAAAAATTTGTTTATCTATTTAATTTTATTTATTTATTTTTAAAGAATTATTTTATTTAACTTTATTTATTCATTTATTCTTTTATTTTAATTTGACCACAGAGGGATAGAGTGAGACAAAGAGAGAGAAAGCAAGAAAGCAAGCCGCCAGGTCTGGGACTCCAACCATGGTCGGTCATGTGGGAGTCCAGCACCCCCAAGTCCCACTCCACCTGCTGGCCCCTATTATTATTATTGTTGTTATTATTATTGTTATTATTATTTTAATTTGCTATAGGGCACATGTCCTTACCAGGTGGGAGTAAGGGAGTGAGAAAGTAAGCCTCCAGGTCTGGGACTCGAACCTTGGTCGACCATGTGGGAGTCCAGCACCTTAACCATCATGCCACATGCTGGCCCCTCTGAAATTATTTTAAAAGTTCATTTATTCTTTTATTTCATTTTATTTTGACGGTGCCCTCTGACATTAAAATCTTGGACCTGCTGGGATTTACTGTGGGGAGTGGGGTCACACACTGAGCTTACTCTAAGGTCTCACCTGCTGTGCAGCCCTGTGTTTCTCCAAAGGCCGAGGTGTCGCTTTGCCCTCAGGTCACGTCAAGTCCGTTCTCATCTGTGCTTGGTTCTGCTTCTGGACTCCATTTCGTTCATCGATCTGTAGCAGACTTCTGACTAGCAGAGTTTCATTTCTCGCTGAACACGTACTATTAATCCCCAGTTTAACTTCTGGTGCTGTTGCTCTCGACCTTTGCCCACAAGCAGTCTCAGATCCTGTGGCCGACCTACACCCTGAGCACAGGCAGAGAAACCGCGGTCCAGAGAGGGGCCTGGTCAACTGGAGCTGGCCAGAGGGGCACCAGCCTCTCCTCTGAGTCTGGCTCTCAGCTCCCATCTCCCAGTCCTCGGTCCACCCACGGAGTTTAGAAGATAAATTGCCCAATAACTCACAGCAAGCCTTCCAGGTGACCCAGATTAAGGCGAAGTCTTTCGGGAATTTCCATGGGACATGATTCATGATACAGGTGAAGAATAATAACAGGCCAGCTGGCCCCGTGGCTTGGTGATGAAGGGAATCAGATATATATGACTGACCGCAGTTCAAATCCCAGACCAGGGGGCTTGAGAAGCAGGTGGGACATGCTTATGTGCGTGTCCCAGTTCCTGGCAGGATGGAACACTGGAAGAGAAGGGATTGTGGTGTGGCCATGCCCTATAGTGAGTACTTTCCTCCTGTCCCTCTCTTTTTCCTTCCCCTCTATTCCTCTCTGGTGAGTGTACACATCTTCCGACCAGAAAATAAAAAGATAGGGACAGGCAGATGGCATAATGGTTACATCACGGGACTCCACGTAGTCGACTACAGTTTGAGTCCTGGACTCAGTGACTTATAACTCACGCCAGATGCATGTGTGTGTGCCGCAAATCCCAAGAGGAGAATGGAGGAGAAGAGATTGTGGTGTGGCCATCCCCTGGGGATGATTTTTCACTTTCTGTCTATCTCTCTCTGTCTCTCCAGCGAGCACACTTGCCCTATAGCAAAAATCTCTCTCTAAAAAAGGGACAATAATAGTAGCAATAATAATATTATTTTTTAATTTTACCAGGTGCCAGGCGTCATTCTTAGGACTTCCCACGCATTATTTCAATAAGTATTCACCCCACTCTGACATAGTGTTCTTTCATTCTCACTTTATAAATGAGGGATTTGAGGCTGAAAATAAATGTGTTAAATAATTAGTCCAAGTTCATATAGCTAAGTAAGAGTCATTGTCAATCTAACCTCTAAACTATGTCACAAATACAACGGGGGGGGGGGGGGTTGTCCAAAAAAACTCA